TGTGTCACCAAAGAGTGCAACGAAATTTGAGTGTTCTTCTTCTTCATCTTCATCATATTCAGTTTCCAATTCTTCATGTGTGAGTGAATATTTTTCTTTTGACTTCCCACCAGCACACTCATTCTTCATATGACCATACCCTTTGCACTCATAACATTGAAGATCCTTTAGATTCCTCAACATTGCTTCTCTCTTAGTAATGTTAGGACACTCATCTTTCCAATGACCAACTCCCCTCTCAAAGAGTAAAACGGAAAAACTAACCAGTTCTATTCACTTGAGAAAAAGTCAAGTACAACTCACTTTTTGTTAAAGCTACTCAACACCCAGATGAAACTCCCCCTGAGTTTCAACCCACTCTCACAATGAATTCTACCGATTAAAAACTTTACCCAACATAAACGCTCACCAAAGGAACAGAGATTTTTCCATTAGGTCTCCCCCTCAGATCCACGCCCAAACACTCATCAGAGAAAAGAGATTTGCCCAATCGGTCTCTTCCTCAGACCCACACTCACTCAAAAGTGAGTGCTCACTCACTAACACAAAAACTCTTTTAGTAAAATATGCTTTGCTTTCCGTGAGAACTGATATGCACTTGCTCTCTCCTTTATATAGGCTCCTCCAGTTCGCCTTAGATCTCCACTCAGTGATTGTTGACTCACTCTGTTTCTGTTCCTTGATCAGCTTCATGTTGATATCGTAAAGCTTTGTCATCTCTTTGTACAGATTTTCTTCACTAACCTCCTCTTCTTGTTCCTCATGTTCTTTTGTGTCACCAAAGAGTGCAACGAAATTTGAGTGTTCTTCTTCTTCATCTTCATCATATTCAGTTTCCAATTCTTCATGTGTGAGTGAATATTTTTCTTTTGACTTCCCACCAGCACACTCATTCTTCATATGACCATACCCTTTGCACTCATAACATTGAAGATCCTTTAGATTCCTCAACATTGCTTCTCTCTTAGTAATGTTAGGACACTCATCTTTCCAATGACCAACTCCCCTGCATTCGAGACACTTTCCAGTGTTTCTCAGCTCAGATTGTCCAGCAGTCACTGGCTTTTTCTTGAAAAATCTGTTGAGCTTTTTGACAATCATCATGTCCTCGTCCAGTGATACTTGACCTTGAGTGTCAGATATCTCTGGGACATGGAAAACCATATTTTTGTTCGACGTTGTTGCTCTCTTTGGCTTCTCATACAGCTCTAATTCTAATTCATGAGCAGCAAATGCACCAACTGTTTCTTTGAAACTAACAGTGTCTACGTTATTTACCATGGTGAATGCAGATTTATGAGACATAAACTTTTTAGGTAAACTTACAAGAAGTTTGGCCACCAATTGTTTGTCTCGGTAGGTCTTTCCAATAACCTCAGCCTCGTTTGCTAATGCATTTAGCCTCCCGCAAAATTCTTTGACGCTTTCGTTTTCACCCATCTGAAGCATGTTGAATTGATGCTTGATCAAATCTCTCCTTGTGCGCTTAACACTTGAGGTACCTTCATGAATTAGTTCAAGTGCATCCCAAGCTTCTTTTACTGACTTACACCCTTGGATCTGCTTGAATTCGTCCTTATCAACGGTGTTGAAGATGATGGTTATCACCTTAGAATTCAATGCCGATGCTCTCTTCTCTTTGGTTGTCCATTTAGATCTAGGCTTCAGAATTTCCTTCCCATCAACCATGTGAGTTGGAGTACTCCACCCTTCTTCCACCGAACTCCAAGCATCTTCATCAATCCCTTTGATGAGATTCATTGTCTTTACTTTCCAAAAGCTATAATTCTTCGAATCAAGAATTGTGTACATCCCAAGAGCGTGAAACCCTTTGATCGAGTCCATGTTGTGTCTTCCACACTTGCACCGATATGAGAGGACAAGTTCCTACGATCGGTGACCAGCTCTGATACCAATTGAAAAAGTCGGACTCTCAAAGAGTAAAGGGAAAAACTAACCAGTTCTATTCACAATCGAGTCATGATCCTCACCGACGCGGGAGAGTATGAGTCAATGGACGAGGATGAAGTTGAGAAAGTACAAGAAGATATCGAATACTCGGGTAGTGGTGAGTTATTGGTCACGAGACGCGTTTTAAGCGCCATGACAAATCCGGAAGAAACCGCACAACGAGAGACCATATTCCACAGTCGTTGTACCGTGAGGAACAAGGTATGTGGTTTAATTATTGATGGTGGTTCTTGTACTAACGTTGCGAGTGCCTACATGGTAAAGAAGCTAGGGCTTGAAACCGAGAAGCATCCTCATCCGTACAAGTTACAATGGCTTAACAACCAAGGTGAACTTAAGGTAAATGAGAGAGTCAAAGTTTCATTTAGCATTGGGAGATACCAAGATGAAGTATTATGTGATGTGGTTCCAATGCAAGCCGGACACATTCTTCTTGGACGACCTTGGCAATTCGACCGAGAGGTGAAACATGATGGTAGGACTAACCATTATTCA